ATGGAGATGGTGATTGAGGTGTGGTACTTACGACGATCATTTCATAATTAATTATGAAATCAAACATCTGGTAATTTATCAATTTCCATGCCCAAGAACAAACAAATACTTTTGGCTCTGCAGCAAAAAAGCTATAATGGCAAAATGGGCTTTTTTGTAGCATTGTGAAAATAAATTTGTCATTCTCGAATTTCTTCACGTCACACTTGAACTTTTGCGCTGGAATTTATACAATAGCTCATAATGTATCAGCAAATAAGCCGTCACTCAGAGATGTCCGCACGAGAATGGAATTTGTCCATTGCGACACTGATATGCAATTTGCAAAATTAATTATGAATTCCTCATTAGAGTCAGGTTATAAGCTTGCATAAGACCACTTTTTCTTGCTCTCCAGCCCGAGAAGATGTTTTCATATCTGCCAAGCGTCGAGGCAAATGTAGCTTCTCATGCAAATGAACCTCTGGCAGAATTTAGTTGCAACAATGTAATATCGGAGGCACTTGTGAAGCTTCTTGCAGCTCCCATTTCTGCCTCGCCAAACGTGAAGCTCTTCAGGTGTTTCACCATATAATCTCCTCCTTAGCATACAAAAAGCCGATATTGTGAGAAATGCAGTCTCTTCCGCATGATTTTTGCACACTGAACCACTTGGCGAGGAAATAAAAGGCACCGATTGGTTGAATTCCCATCTGTAAGCTTCATATAGAATTGCGCCCCTGATATTTTATAGGATTTTTTCCACTTGACCCTCTCCACATGTAAGCTCCCTGTGACCCCAGAGAGTTCAATATTGTGTGAATTTCACGGCTCAGCGGTGAGCGTCTTCCGGCCGAAGGTGTGAGGCTCCATAATGCTGTCGTAAAACACGAGGGAATCGCACATGAAGCTCCATTTCACATGATGACGCCTCCCTGAATGACATGGAAAGGGGTTACAGCAGCCCTTTGGCTGTTATTACAACTTCCACCAATATAAGCTTGACATTTGCCATGGGAGATTTCCCCATCCATAACAAAATTACCGTTCATCCCTTATCAGGTTTGGTGTATTCATGAAAATTTCATGAACTGGCTAGAAACTTTGATGCGCTTTCATCTCAGCAAAAACTCACAAAATTTGCATAATAAAGCTGGAATGGCTAACAAGAAACTTGTCGTCGCTTGATCAAGTGCAATAAATTTTACTCTTATGAATGTATGACCTTTTCTGGGAATAATCTTCAAATTTTGCCAAAACGTTAACCGAGATTTCGTAGAATTTTCATATTTAAATTAAAATTTCATGCAAAGGTTGTACCAAAACCCTGGCTGGAAATCATCCCTAGTCATTGCCTTATTTTATTCAACATCACTCCGGCACAAACACGTGACATCATCTCCCAGCAATATATCCACAATTCATGACAATATTAAAATATAGACACGATGATAAATGCAAATTTAATGGAATAACCTCCGCTTGCGACTTTTCCATTTGAGCTCATCAATTGCAAATGAGCTTTAAATATAATTTATTGTGGTTTATTTGCAAAATTAACATGTCAGCGTGTCAATATGCAGCCCCCTTGGCGCGGTGTCACTTAGAAGGAAATTTGGAATTCGTGACAAATGTGGGAAGACAAGCTTTTTGACGAACTGTGTTCAGCCATCTGCAATAAGGCGATTAGCAATCCATTTGTGAAAGAGGTGTGCATTAGCGAAAACAATGTTAGGTTAAATACACATGAGGCTGTATGGTGGAGGGACTTTTTCCACCCATTCCGCCCACATTCATGGTAATTAATTAGTGCGAGTCGTTGTGAAAACACTTTGCGTGATGTGCGTCCTGAGCGGTGGCAAGAGCATCCCTGAATTGAGGGGAGAGACCTTTCATTTGGGGTTTAATCTCTGTGCCAATCACTAGATTCATTCAATCGAATTTCTCTCATCCGAATGGATTCGCACTGTGAATGCGCCAGAGGCAAAAACCCCATTATGTTTAGTAGATTTTTCCAGTCTCTCTCTCTCTCATTCAGTGGCAGTCACGAATAGGGTGACTTCAGCGGGATGGGATAAAGGGTGGGGTTTTTTCGGGGTGGCAAAAAGGGACTCTGTGAATGCTATCCATTACACTTGTGATCCCGGCCATTCGAGAGAACTCGGGGTGTATTTGTATGAGCTGAGAATGCATAACTAACTAATCCAAAACGCTCCATCAATTTTAAATGAGCAATTTTACAACAAAAACACCCAGCCAAGCGTCAGAATCGCACCCAGAGAGATTTATTCCTCAGTCGCACGATTCTCCCCATTTGATGCCAGTCTGTGGGCGATAGGACGGGGAGTCTTTTGATTTACACTGTACACATGAGACAGAAATCCACTCGATAATTCATTGAAAAGTCACGGTTTCGGGGGAGAAATTGTGCTGAGCTGAAGGGTGAATTATGGCCCTTGGCTCTCTCAGACAGAGAAAGTCTTCAATGCAACCATTAATTCTGCATTTTGCGACATCGAGAATTGCTCGCCGGATGACTTATTGGACTCTGAAGGGGGGAAAGAGAATTGAGTGCCTGAAAGACAAAAGAATTTATCGAAGAACCCTCCAAATAATATAAATCTCTCTCTCAATGTTCAATTGCAGAAGGGGAGAAAAGTCTTTAAAACAAAATATTGTGACCACACTGTTAGGAAAAATAGCAATAAATCCTAAGCAAAGTTTTATGTAACTTGTAATAAAGATCGAATTTTAAGCCATTTCCGAAAAATAAACTCGATTTTTGGCAGTGTTTCTCCCAATAAAATAAATTATCGCATGAAGAGCACTCGAACATGCCAAATTGCAACATAAATTTCCATCCGAGCGATGTGACACAAAATCCATGAGGATTAGAAAGAATTGGAGAAAAAAGGTCACCCAGAATGAAGCAAAAGGAAGAGCATTAATTGAAAGATCTTCTCATTTTCTCACGCAAAACATTTCTTGCTGCAAATTCAATTAAGGAGAGGCAAATAGAAAGGTCTGTGCCGTTTGCCATCTCGCTAATTCCATTAATTTTTGAACGTCTCGCAGTATTTATGTGTCTCTATTCCCCCCGATGTCGTTCAATTGGGAAAAGCGTCCTATTGACTAAGCTAATGGATTATGTGATATTTCAGGCTTTTCGATTCACCATTGGATAATCGCAATTAATTTTCCGCATTCAAACCTCGCGGTCCCTGACAAGCTGTCCCAGCGCGAGATTGTTGGCTCTTTTGTAATCTACCTTAATATCTTATTTGGCAATTGTTTGCGGTTTCGCGATGGCCGAAAAAACTGTTGTTCCTGTAACATGATTTCATTAGTGGTGAAAACAAAAAAAGGCACTTTACTCCGTGTCCCGAAGAGTTGGGGAAAAATGTCAAGGTTGTGCAGTGATTTCCTCACGCATCGCTTGCCCGCCATTTGAGTCTTATCGTGGGATTGTAAGTTTCACGGAAGTTTTCGTCTCATTGTTAATTTGTTTTATATAACCACTTCTTGGGAATATTTAGCAGTTTGGCGCATTTCAGTAAATTAGAGGAGAAGATTAAAATTTTCGCTATTTTCATAATTGAATTAAATTTCTTGAATTCTATTACAAAATCTATTATTAAGGCTATATTAGTTGATAGATTTCCAAATGATTTCTCTTACGTATAGTCTCATTATCTTACATATGAAATGTTGGTCTTTTCGTGAAAATTTGCCCATTTAAATTTCACGCAATATTGACGATCTGAGCGAAAGATGTGACCTTTCTGGCAAATGGTTTTTCGCCGTTTTTTCCCCAGGTCAGAATAACCATCAATTTTCATTTCAACGGACGTGTTTGCCCACGAAGGGGCCGACAGTGTCCAGAAGCACACCCAAGGGAAGTCAGCAGAAACATTTACTTGATTTGCGTGCGAATTTAATGCGTGTGTCCACACGAGGCAGCAAGGCATCATTCCTCACGATCCTCGGCAATCATGGCCATGCACGGCGGTTCTTTCTTCTCGCCCCATAAGAGCAAAAAGGCACGATTGAAAGACATATGATTCCGTGCGATGGACACTGCTGAAGTGGAAATTTATGACTGGGATCAGGGGTGTGAGGTGTAATGAGGGTAATTGCATTGATTTATTAATCTGTCTACCAAGCATCCAATTAAATTTTATGACTCGATGGAGCGTCCTTTTGGGGCCTCAATGGCATTGGTAGAATGCCGGAAGGATGAAAGTGACACCGTGTATAAATTCCATCATACACTTTCCCAATCATCCTCCCGGAGAATGCTTTCAGGTGGAACGAGGTGGAAATTACATTTTCACAAATACACTTTTCCTCACTTTCTCATTGAACACCATTCCCGGGCACCGGCAATATTGTCCCCAGGACGAGCCGGAGCGCATCCAATAGACTCTTGGAAGACCTCATACCCGGAGTTGGATTTCAATTTTCTGCACGAAAAATATTTGTCCACACTCCAATGGCATTCCTGCGGAGAGACTTCCGCAGAGCATCTCTGCTTGTGCAACTGCAAGGAATATTTATTGTGCACATATTTACAGAAGTCAACCCACCCACAATTGCTCACACGCCCTGCCATACCTGCCAGAGGGTCTTTGAGAAGTGATTCTGAATTTGCGGCGGAATATGAGCTCATGCACTGTGCGAGCTTTTTTCCTACAATGGGTGTGTTTTGTGAACTTTGAGCAAAGACAGAAATTGATGGATTTTTATGCACAGCTCAACAGAGCAAAAGTAATCTCAAGAGGAAGCACAAATATTAAAATTTTAATGAGAATTTTTGCGGAAATCTGAAGGGTATAGTATATCTCATGCAGTTTTTAAAGGATTGGCAAGCTTTTCAGCACTCACGGAGTAAAAGGGTCTTTAATTTTCTGTTTTCCAAATAACACAGAGAAACATTTGAAGTTACAATAAATATTCCCTCTTCACTGGAATACTGCACACACAGAGCATCAGACAAGTGTAGGAACAATTATTGAACATACCTTGTAAATGCCATCGACGAGCTTTATCACTTCTTCTGTCTCCATCGTGTGGCTTTTAATTAAAACACTATATTCCACTTCCTGAAGTCCTCTTAACAATGATGGGTACTCCCTTACAGACACTGCCGCATTGTCCCTCTGCCAAGTTCTCCGGGATGAATATCGTGCGAATGAGTGGCTCTGTAATGTTTTCCCGGATGTATAAACTTCAGTGAATCACTGCCACTTTCTGAAATCTCCCGCTGGTTATAATCCTCTCACGCTGCTCCTGATTGTTCTGCAAGGCAATGAAAGAGGAATGCATGAGTTTAGAGATGCATAAAAGAAACTTTGCGCAACTTTAAAACTTCCACACAAAACATCCATCTTTCCTCTCATCATCAAGATGAAGTCTCTTGCCGCTTCACGCGTAATGAGATTTATTCATGTGGCAAAATAATCAACTTATTAAGTAATGTCTTTCGCGTCAAGTCACGGGATGAAACGGAGATGGTTTGCGCCTATACCTGAATCGTGAGGTGGTGCATGAAAGTGTTGGATTAGCATTCAGAGTTTGTGGGGTGTGAGGCTGGAAGGACGCCAAGTGAATTTGAAATGATGACGAGAGGAATGTCAGAGGAAGAATGTTTTGGCTAGTCTGGCAAAGACGATAAATTTGACATTATTTACAGTTCCGTGGCCGTGTTATTGGACTCAAATTGACTGTCCGCGATTCTAGTTTGCTGTGCCACCCACTTCGGGTGGGAGAACGTGCCAAAACTGCCAACCATCATCCACTTTCCCATGAAAATGGAGCATTAATTTAATGACTAAAGCTCTGCCCAGTCCCTCTGGCACTCTTCAACATCATCCCTTGTGGCCCCAGGTCTTCACACATAATTCGCAACCCTGCGCATTAAACTACTAAATCACTCGATTTGCAAATTAATGAGCTCCATTTCAATCACAAATATTTGACTATCGTTATTAATACACACAAAAACCAATTAATTAAAAGAGAAACAACTAAAGACAATATTGATAAAACCCTTTTGACTTTCGTTTTACTTCAATTGTTCAGTGTTCTTGAAACAAATCATTTTATTTGACCAGAAACGCTAATTTATTTAAGAAAAATGTTCAGTGCCCGAAGAAATAAAGTAATAATTTCAGAAAAATAAAAAATAATTTCCGTAGCCCATGATTGTTGTTTACACACCTTCCCAGAAACCTTCAGCGAACATATTTAATTTTGGTTTTTTATACTAACTACATCACTTGATCTTGTTGAACAAACTATGCATATTGCAATATTGTAAGATACGTGTGATAAATAGTCAATAAAATGCAAATATGTATTATTTGAAAAGTTCAATTTATATCATTTTTAAATTACACCTGAATCAATCTTGTTGCAAACGTCAATTTAAATTTCAGAGAGTGATTAAAATTTAAACAACCAGCATTTAAATTGTTCTTATGATGTCTTTTTGTGGTCCGTTTAACAAAGCATTCCCGCTGGTGGTATTTTGTCTAGAGCCGAATTTATAGCATTCAAGCAGAATGAATTTGATGGTAATCAGGAGATTTTGGCTGCTTGAGAAGGTCATTCAATTAATTACAGCGGTGAAGTTGTTATGAAAGTGAACATGTTGAATAATGTTAAATGAATTTTCATCCGTCTCGTGTCCATAATTTTGAGCGATATATAATAACATTCAATATAGCTGTAAAGTCAAAGTGATTTTCAATTAATTGGAGTGGAGGAAAGTCGTTAAAAGTTCCTGCTCTCCAGTGTATTTCGCCGGGAACAATGGGAAAGTTTCGCTGATAGATAGAGTTGAGCTTTTTGGGTGAGAGATAGTTGTAGTAGCTCATCGTACAGACAAGTGGCTGTAGTTTGCGGTATAATTAATGCCAAGTAGTGCAAATTACTCTTCGCCTCGCTTAATCTGCCTCCTGATATTATCATCCACCCAATTCACTAATAAGCTCCATTTTGTCAGGCAAACAGCCGGAGTGAAGATTTTAACTGCAGACTGTTTGTCTTTCCGCCGCTTTTTGCTACGAGGGTGCCTTCTCGCCATCCCGGAAATTTTGAGGAGCTCCCCAAGGAGTAAGCTGTTGAGACGGATGGGAAAATTGGCAGTGGGAGGACGAAAGGCCGCCCACATTTAATATAGTTTACCTTCACGACGAGGTAAATCCCGTAAATGGGGAGATTATATTTTTTGCTGACGGAAAATCATTTATATTCCGATTCTATCTTCGACTCCTCTTCTTTCGCTCCTTCTCAAAGGTGGAAAGTGTCTCTATGATGGCGGGTCTCGTGTGCTAAATTCAATTTCATGGCCTGAAATTTCATCTCAATGTGCAAGTCTTCCTTTGCAAAACATGACGAACTTTTATGCTTCATCTTCAGACTGCTTCTCGGCTATAGATGGTCTTATTGAATGCATCAAGAAGTGGAACGCATTGTCTATTGCAGCTGATTGAAATTCAATTAGGCTGTTTGTTTTATGATGAATTTTTATTTAAAAGAGAAAACACATCATATTGTGAAGCTGCTTCTGTCTATGTAGTAGATTTTCACAACTTGAATTTGAGACGCTAATTCATTTAGTATGAGTTCAATGTTCTCATTGTAAGAAATTGTTATCTAATCCTATTCATTCATTAGTCAACTGGATAATCTATCAAATGACAGAGAACTTTCCACAAGTCTCCTTTCAGTCGTTCTGGAATGAATTGCAAGCGGTTTTGCAAGAAATTTCACAGTCGCATGAATACAATGTCTGTGGCGATCAGGAAAATTAATTGCATGTTGTTGTATTGTGGAGTCCTTTGAGAGGAAAAAGTGTATAGAGAAACCTCACTTGTTGCACGAAGAATGTGGTGAATGATCAATCAATTAGTTCCAAGTGATCTCTCCACATTGTTGGCTGGAATTTGTGTCGGAGTCTTTCAACGATCCACTGGAGCATTTTATTGGACACCACAATAATCCAGAGTGACAATTAAAATGTTGCTTCGTGCTATACACTTTTCACTCACACGAATTAATATTCATTGTGATTAATCTGTTTTATTCACCAACAAATACTGCGCGCTGTGATCGATTGAGTAGAAGCAAAGGTGTTATGAAAGAAATGATATATCCAATTTGCACCTGTTGTATGAAAATCTCAGTGAGAGAAAAGTCACTTTACAACACAATCGAATATATTTTCATTGCTGCTCAAAGGCACACTCTGGAAAATTCAATTTTATAATTACTGCTCAATGGTCCAACCATAAACATGGTAATTTGTGTAGTCATCCGCGAAAGTGCCCAATTGTCAGATCTTCTCCACTGCTTCCAAGCACCCGGAAAAGTGTGTCAAAGAAACCGACTAATTGTACATATCATGTCCAGTAATAAAGCATTTTTCGTGGCTAAGCGCGAGAAAAATTGCCACCAATTAATCGCCAGTTAAATGCTCTCCCCACAAATACGATACATTAAACACTTTAATTGAGTTTAAAGGCATTTCGGATTTGATTGTGTGGCGATTAGACGACTAAACGCAGAGGACAGTGGACATACTTTCGGCCGGGCGACAATTTGCAATTAAATATTTGATGGTAGTTGGGAGAGTGATTTCGCAATGTACATAATCCAATACAAGCGGCAACGTTTCATTGAAATGTGGTCCATTTGGTGCCCCAGGAATTTGCAGCTACTGAGCTATGGTGGCTTACGACATGACCACAAACAGGAGAGGGAATTGTATGTGCAAGAAGAATTTATGATTATGGTGCAATCTCATGTTGAACTATGCGATTTACACAGATGAGTGAGAGTGAGGCCGATTTAGTGGAGATTTTGCACACACGAGAAGTGACCACCACATCTCAGCTGCACACAGATGCCGACCATCTGTGGGCAGAGGCAGTCGAAAGGCGAGAAAATTGAAAAGACTGTTTCCGAGATCAATTCCGGAGGATGGAAAGTGGTCTTCAATGAGCAGGTTCAGTGGATGACTCGAAAAACAAGATTCAATCTCAAAAGTAAAGATCTCTTATCGGTTGAACAAACTCTTGATTTTATGATATATTTTATTGGTCGGTAGAAATCAACGACCTAAGATCAACTAGGAAGCAATCTCATTGGAAAGGTATTTGGACCTGTTTTTAAAGGTATAAATGTAAGATGAGTGTATGGACTTAATTATTGATGCTCTTCCTTTCACAATCAGATATTAATATATAGAGAATAAAATCAATATAATTTCTTCAAAATCGCGATATTTGTATATTGTATAATGCATAACAATATTCAACCAATACACGAATACTTTGGATTACTGGCTTAAGTAAACAGAATTGTCTTGAGCAGAAGGAGATGAAATTATCGTGGACTTGGAAGAGAAATGATGGTCAGTGGAATGTGTGTGATTCCAGAAGAGAAACACAAATGACTGAATAATGGGTGGAAGGAGTCTTCTTGAACTCAGCCACTTAAGGGGCCTTGATATAAAGCTCTCCCTCCTTGGCTGTCCAGACATCATTCTCCGGCATTCTGGAGCAAGAGCATTGAATTTAATGTATGCGTTCTGTGGCATTTAGTTGCAATTAACCGCTCCTATTGCACTGTAATTTATGATACTTGGCGACCTATAACCGTATCTCGAATTCAGCATAACAGCAGCGCCAAACACTCCAAACACACTCGAGAGCGCCAAGTTGTCCGTCCACATTAGAACTACTCCGTACGGCCACAGAAAAGGTAAATATTTATACAGTGATCTCTGTGCAGAATAACTACATCGCACCGGCTGCATATGGGAGTGTTTGCGGGAAAATAAGGGGTAGGAGAGCGTCGTGTGAGTGTTTGCGAGAGAGTGACTGAAAATGATGGTAGGATTGCTGGAAATTAATCCCTCGCCCAAATTGCGCATACAGAAAAAATACGTGTTCATGTGGAAAACACCACTTAAATATTTGACACACCTGATGGACTTACGCCTCCACCTCAGGCAATTAGAGACAATTTTCTTGCCATTTACAGTCACGAAGATCATTAAAGGAGTCTCTTGGAGATTCAATAACAGAACCGTGTGAACAATATCTTGGTCAATTCAATGGCAAAATCACTCACAAAAAGTTGATAATCCGGAACTTTGAGCACAGCAAAAGTTACAGGTGAGACATAATTTGTGCTCCTAATTGTTCAAATGCCCGCGGCAGAGATTCAGACCCGATAATCTATCGTACCGAGACTGTATCTCGTTAAAATTGACGACACTCATAATGATGGTGAGCAATTAATTTTTTACCGGCTTTTCCATCGAAAATTACCATAGCAAAGTATATTTCCTTCTCAGCACTACTCATTTGGAACATTAGAGTTTCTCTTCCCGGCTGCTGGAGAGATTTGCATGTAAACGTCATGGCAAAAATACATATGATGCAATATTGCATTAACACTTACTGAAATATTTTACTGAAATATTGACTTCAGGGACAATTATCTAATAAAATTAGTATCATTGAGCTTATTCGGTAAAACAGTATTTAAATCGTGTCCCAAGATTAATGGGCATAAATGTGTGTTATTATGTTTATTGCGATTATATTGCTTTAAATGCATCCATATAAATGAATATTTTATTACAATCACTCTCCCCTTTTATTGACTTCGACGTTCATTCTCTATCATGCTCGCTTATTGAAGCCTTTACAGCTGCTAAAATTATGCATAATCATTTTTCTTTCCACCTCACTTGCAACTACGTTCTTGAGCATCAGAGTTGCAAACAGGGTCAATTCACAGCAGATGAAAGATGGTGTCAGATTTCAATCAGCAAACCTTTCATGAAGACACTGACCTTGACTTTTCGATGGGACTTATTGAAATTCTTAATGGGCGCCTTTGAGTGATTCTCATTGTTTATGCTCGCACTTTTCACTTTTACTGCCTCACTCAGCCATTCAACTGTTTAAACGCTATTAGCAGAAAATTGTTAGGCCCTGAATGTTGGAGGGGTTTCACATTTTGGATAAGAAAACTACTTAATCCTTGATTGGCTCTTGTGGTATTGGAAGCCAAATTGAAGTACTTTAATTTCTTCAAATACCTCAATCCTAATATTTATTTAGAAATTGTTTTGTGTGTGAATGATTTGTATGTACAATATTTAAGTTTAAAGTCAACATAACTGCTTACTAATTTCGAATAAGTTGAAGTACAAATTCCTTGTGACACAGCGAAGTGTTAATTCGTTTGCAGGTGTTATTTGAATATGAAATAAATTCACTCTCGTAAGTCAACTACCACGAGCGTGATTTTCTTATTAAAAGTACAAGGACATCCTTCAGGCAGCTGAACCATAATTTATCTACAGAATTGCTGCGGCCCGAGGAGGAGGGAAGACAAATGACCTCATGAGAGGCACGAGATTCTGGGTCTTCGAGGTGGGCATAATATATTGACTTACTGCAGAATATTGATCGGATGCCAATATTTTGTGGTATTGATTGGATGTCCCACATTTGCGGCGCATTGAAACCACACCAAGTCTATTTTGCAATGCTGCTTGTCTCCCAATTGACCATCTTGCACTAACTTGCGTGTTTAGCATTTTTTCTCACCATCCAAAGTCGAGTCCAAAGTGGAAACTTGCTTTTTTCCAACCACGCACTGGCATGGTTGTGTATCCTCTCACTCGGGACATTCTCACGACTCCTCGTGAATTTATCGCGAAAGTTGCCAATTTGCCAATCGACATCCCAGATTGATTATCATTTTGCCAGCACTGATGTCTTGAGAGATTATAATGCGATAATCGTGATTCTGTATATTCTTCATTGAAACCTACACGCAGAGTTTGTCTCTCTAATTCCTTTGGAAAAGTTACTTCTTTGCCTTCGCACAGGGGGTATTCATTGGGCGGAAGTGAGGTTTCGCGAAGATGACTCATGATGGCTTATCTGAAGACTGACGAAGAAGTTTAGAGCTGTATACTGATATGTTTATAATTATGAGCCTCATAGTTTCTCTTCGCATCTCCCCAGTAGGACATTTATTCGGCACAGTGCCAAGTTGTTTGTTGTCTTGTCGATTCGTCTGGAAGTTTTGGTGACAAAGATTCCATAGATTGGCCCTCGCTCAGAGGGTGAGAGGAGAGAAAACACTTGCCCATGTTGTCTGAGGCAGTGAAAGTTTCATATTTTCCCCCGGCACAAAAGAAATCCCCACTGAATAGTGTCATCTGAAAAATTGTCTCCGTCTCACGCGATCGTCTCCACAAAGAATGGGAAAGTTAATGCCCTCGATGGACATTCTTCTGGCATTTGTAAACACTTCGCCATCAGGGCACATTCAGTGTTTTGGCATAGAAAATCCATTAAAATCCCATTCCGCTGATTACAATTATCGTCCACTTGCACTCATGCATACAAATGAGCCATCAATTGGAATTCCACTTTTGTCCCACAGGCCAAGGAGCAGCCGCCACAAAAAAAAATCCACCCGAGAAATTACACAAAATTCCATCTACCGCTCACGTATGTGAAAATGTTAAAAATATGTCCATGCGGCGCTATTTGCCATTCCTATTGTATCTTGAGGTGTTCATCTTTATACTCTTTACGGGAATGTGGCGCAAAATCGAAGATGACAATGTTATTCAACGAGCGAGGCAAAATATTTGTCTTTTTCACTGCTTGAGGCACTCGTCCCAAATGATATGCAAAAATGTGAGTAGTGAGCAATTGAGGGAGAGAAAATATAAATGCAAATTCGATATCACTAGATCCAGTCGATGTACAATAAAATCAATATACGATATCTTTGACGTATTGTGGACAGGAATTATGCTTCTGTGTGACAACACTTCAAACGCGGAATGCACAAATTCTCATATTACACGATTTAAATTTATTCGACCAAAAAACTAATATAATCGAAACTATGCTGAGTCTTTTCTCAAGTTACGATAATGAATTCATCTCATTTGGTGGTCAATGTTGACATAATTTAGCTCCGCAAATATAAGCAAAGAGGTCGAAAACCGAATTTCCAATATGCTTTAAAACCATGTGTTTTAGAAAAATCATTAGCAAACATAAACAAGGGGTTACTGAACCATTGATGTTAATAATTTAATATGGAATGGTAGTTATGGCAGAATTGTAACGAATTCCATAAATTTTCTCATGTTTTTATCTAATTTTTATGCCTCTCACAATTGCTCAATGTGTCCTGAGGGATCCACTGGAATATTTCCGTCAATCTGGTGGCACATTAAGGGAGGCGGAGGGGTTGTTGTAGAGGACCTCACCCTTTCTCGTGTTTGCATGTCTAATTGGGTGAAATTCATTGTGTCTTTGGTGCCCAAGAGTTCTCGCAGAATTTCTCCAATTAGCAACAGCCGGAGATCCTTGTCGCGCTCTTAATTTGTTCTTATTAAATTTCACCAGAGAGAGAGACTCTGTAATCTATGGCGAAAATCCTACTCTATTATTATATCCAATTACAAACTCTTCGCCATCGCAATTGAGTGAATCCTCGCCGATGGTGAGCCATTTCCGACGAGATGACGGGGTTGTCGGGGGTGTGAACCCATACAACTGGAATAAACTCCAAATTGCAGCACTAAAGCATCCCATAAATTTACATTTCACCCACCCAAAAATTGTATAACGCAAAATGAGCAAAATATTTCCGTATATATGTACATTCACAGTGAGAGCGGGAAAGGAGATGTGTTATGCATGCACTTTTCACGTTCAAATAATTCAGCATTTTATGTTGGCAATAAAAATGCTGATATGATACTCATTGGGTTTCAATTAACTTGCAAAATTGCATGAGGAAAAACACAATTTTACTCTATTATGCGATAAACGATGGCCAACAAAAAGCATACAATTTATCCCATCAATTCAAATTATCAGTTTTCAATTGAAATTCAATATCACGATGACACTCCAAAGGTTATTTCTACTATTAATTGCTGGTCATTTGCCAAGCCATGCATGCTACAGAGATTCCACTGAAGCGATACTTATACATATTAAGCTTATATATGAAATTTAATAATTGAACGAGTGCGAAAACTCTATCGTGATTTTTTCTTAATTAATCTCTGGGGTCTTTAATTACACCGAAGAAGAATTTCTGATTAAATTATCTTCGAGAGATGCACTTGAGTTATTGAGTTAACTTAATTCTCGTTGCACAGACTCGCAAATGAAGGAAAGTGAATAAGTTATGCATAAGAAAAGTGTTAAAATCCCTGGCAGGACATTACGTTGGCTGTGCGAAATTACTCTTAACTAGCACGACTTCCTCCTTATTTAAAATAATTGATAATTTGAATACCTAGTTTGTGTGAAATTAGGAAAAAAAACACTGGCTTTGATTGAACCGCTTGAAAATTTGAGGCATTTGGTGGTTTCGGTAAAAAGCCAAAGAGTGTTGAAGGAGGCAAAAGATCACTTACAATGTGTGAGAGTGTGCGGGGAGCACAAGAATGCCGTCTGTCGGGTGATGCAATGACTGGGCGCACCTGTAAAAGAATAACATCATTGTACGTGGAGTTTTACACTTGGTCTTTTGCTCCAGCAAACATGGTAAGTTCTCTCTATTCCCCTCCCATGGACTTTTTCTCCGATTCGATATGAAAACCAGTTAGCGGAAAGCAAATTTATTTCCTATTGAGAAAAAAGGCACGAGATTGGCAGCAGAGATTGACTCGCTGGCTCTTTTTCTGCTCCTCTCTGGAGAGACTCTCCGAGGATTGGGAATGCCAATAGATATGTGCTCACAAGCAATTGCTCGATTGGTGTCACACATTTTTCACGACATGGTGTCTCCATTGACAATCTCAATGGCTCTTGACCAGCGGAATGCAAAGAGGTGAGGAGCTCGGAATGTCTTTTTGCCACCCATCCTCAACGCCAATTAAGACATTTTGTTTGGTGGGTCTTTTTTCCCAAGCAAACTCACATGTAAAGTTCATTCACAGCGAAAAAAAATCGTGTCGTAAAACTTTGTCAAGTAACTTCTTCGTGGCTCTGAGGTGAGAGTTTTTGTCCAAGGAGAGAGTCATGCTGTGCATTTGAATGCGAATCTCATTTTGACGAGAGATCATATTTTGAGATGAATGCAAATTTGGTGAAGATCTGGTGACTATTGCACGGTCTGGTGGACAATATTTTGGGCTGAAGATGACTTCAACCGCCTTCTTGCGAGTTGTGTAATAAAATTTCTGTTGCGTGGAAATGTGAATTAATTTGACACGAAGAAACACCTCGGCGAAGACTTGGAAGAGAGTGAGGAAATGAGGGAGAGATTCACTAGACCTCAAAGTACTAAACCGCAGAAATGTGCACGGCAAGCGAGAAGAGAGGAGTTTTATTTATTAAAACAAATAATTATGCAATTGACAGTGGGAATCATCCGACAGACACTGTGCATATAACATTTATATGTAGTCAGCTACAAGTGGACGTGATGAGGTCAGACAATCTCCAGCAATGATATTAGAGATCAATTTATGCAATGAATACAGACTGTGACAGAATACTGTTGGCACAATGATATTTCATATATATTTATAGAAAATTTTACTGTTTTTTTCTCGTTCTATTTCTTAGTGAAGTATACATTAATAGTAAATTAATGATATGATATCGCGAAATAGATAAAAGTACGCACAGACCGTGTATTTGTTTGCAAATAAGATTAATTTTCTAGATTTAATTTGAAAATCATTATTTTTTATTGTTTTTCTTGTGTTGCTATTAAAAGTCTTTTATAAGTAAACAATAGTAAAAACGGATTTCTGGCAAATCTTCCGTCCATTCTTGAAGTGTAATAGCGAAATTCCGTAAGAATTAGTTAGAAACATCATTATTTATAATTTATAGACTTTATACTTTCAAAACAAGAGGAGAAATATATGAAATTCTTATAGCTTTGCAAAGTCCATCGCCTCTAGTTTTCTTCAATTTACTGTGTTCCATTATTCACAAGAGTCCTCAATAATTCTGGGCGACTTCAGTTAGAGATTTACGTCTGGAGGGGCAAAAGAAAGGCATTTTTAGAGGACAAACCCAAGTGACATTAGTGTCATACGTGAGAATATTTGTCCTAGATATTTTTTCTAATAAAAAATAGTTTAAATGGAAGAAACTGCCTGAAAGAAGCCCGTCATCTTCGCAAATGACCAGTGGAATACCGAATAGGATGAAGGGGAACAATTGGAGCTAATTTTCATGGAGGGAAACACTCCAATAACCGTTAGTAGTTTGTATGGCGGGAACAAACTTGCAAGACAATCCCATATTTATTGAATTTCTTCTGCCGTCTCTTATTTTTTCCTCCGCCAAATGCCCGTTAAATGCCATTGATGTGGCTCGAGCCATACGAAGAAGAGAGTCTGTGCCCGCCTAGCTCGACTCCGTTTACCTCATGGTTCGTTCATACAGTCCGAGAAATATCGAGATAAGAGTGTCTGGAGCCGGAGTTGAATGTAGGAAATTTCAATTAGCAAAATTGTCACGTTCGCCGCCCGAAAAGTGTAGTGAAATAATTCACTCCATCTGCAAGACAAAGCGCCTCCGAGGTGGTTTTCTCAACAAATCGTTAATAATTGTGAATTGTTGAGAGAGGTTTGGCTGTCGATGAAAGGAAAGCACCTCAATCATTCTCACTTTCGGAATTAATTGCATAAAATCTTACAATGAAGTCTAAATGGGAAATTACACAAATTAACCCAATTTTCAATTTAATCACTATCTCTTAAACTCCTTCACTCACGGGGGTTTAATGGCTTGGCCACTGAGAGCAAAAAAAGAACCATGTGCTCGTGGTTTCATGTGAAAATAATGAGAAGTTTGAGGAATTTTGATATCTCCGAGCGACTTTTGCCTGGCGAACACATTTTCCCTTGCCACAGTTTTGCACCTCAGGTGTGATTTAGAGATAAAGTTTTACATCAGGTACGGTGTTAAATTGTGTATTTAGATTCGGTGCTTTGTGCGAAAGAGTGAGAAGGGTCACCACACAAAATCCGAAGAATAATAAAATCGCATTTTATTCGAAAAGAAACTTTTCCATCAGATGATCTGTTTATCCATTCCGCCGAAACAAGGCATCTCACAGAAACTTTGCCAGAGTGCTTTAGCCGCATTAGCTATGTTGCCAGAGAAGCTTAGAGCATATGTATTTCGAGAGCACTTTCTCTTCCACACAACGTGACTTCTGAGGCTGTGCAGTGAAGGGATTTCTCTGCATTTGCCCACATATACTGAAGACGGCAAAGAATGCGCAAGAAGTATTGCCAAACAATGTACAAATATGCAAAAGATGTATGACTGCTACTGAAAATAATTTACACAGAGTGTGGAAAAAATGTTAAACTGTTTTCACCAAGAGACTCTCTTGCTTCGCACCATCATCACCCCATTCGGTCAGAGCATTTCATCTTCCCATTTCTAGTCACTCTGTTTGCACTTGACCTCAGACAAATAACTCTGGCCATTTGAGCCCTCAACTCGCGCTTGTTCAACATTTATCACGTAAAACATTGCACTGGCGCTCCGCCCAACTCATACTATCGCGAACTAAGTGCATGTCAATGTGAAATTATGACAGGAAATGAAGGTAACTTTAATTTCTCATTGTTAGTCCTCTTACCAATTTTCATGAATAACTTTATATTGCTCATAACTTCTTCAAAAATCTTCCTAATTTGCTCAAATAGCTTGATGACTTGATTAGCACTTCAAGGAAATCGGTTGGAGACATACAATTCATTGATATCACGTATGAATATCTTTATTCATAGTGATGAACACGGGCAAATGTTAGGTCATTCTCTCGAAATATTTATGCAAATGCGAGATGCTGCATTCAATGAATGGACAATCAGAATTGTCTTTTCTGTTTCGCCTCAGGCCCATTTTTCATTTACTCCACTTCAGCATGGGAGGAGTGTTGTGATTAATCTTCCTTTAGATGAGAATTTGAGTCTGGTGCCCAGTTCCTGTGGCCTTTTACCACACTCCTCAGCCCGAGAGAGAGAGAGAGAGAGAGACGGAGAAAAAATATACAGAAAACCACTGTCAGGAATTTATTGTAACAAATTATATTTGCCCACTTATTAACGTCGAAGTCGACAAGAACGCTAAGCGAACACAATGAGAAATTTCCTCAAAAGTCACACTGGAATTCATTTGAATATTTCAAGGAGATCAACGTTTTATGATCAATTTGCTATTCGTCGGTCGCTGTTTGGCTCTAATTGAATCATGCCGATTTTCTGTCTCACAATCTCTAATTGATCGAGCTGCGAGTTATTGGTGGGAAATTGTCTAGGGAGTGACAAAGTTATGTGAGATATTAAATTGTAATGGCGATTGAAGGCGACTTTGGCTAATTATGGAAATATTTGAGGAGTGGTATCACTGCCATCGAAGGACTCCCGCGGATTGACGGAAATTCCATATGAATTTCTTCACTGCAACTCCCAGTGGGAACTGCGATGGCAAAAAAGAAGAGTTTCTAATGTTGATTTTCGAGAATTTATGGGTTTCACTTTCTTATCGCAGAGGGACATCGTTTTTTGGAGTTTATGATATCCTCAATTTCACCGTCGATTGGCAATTCCTCGAGAGTCCAATTTTTCACGAGTAGATATCGTTGGATGAATTCACGTTTTTTCAATTGAATGCCAGGAGAAGGGCAAGAAGAGCCACAAATCACAATGGATGAATTCACCAATTTACCAATCTCAAGAGGAAAATCTCACTCTTATTCAAAATACACTGAGCGCCTCCAGTTGATGCACGGTGTTTACCTTAGCAGACTGCTGGAATTTTAGTAAGACGAATTTATTTGTAAATTAAAGAATATCTTCTAATTTTTGTAATTCACATCTATTTGCTTGTCACGAATTTATATATTTTGTTTTCTCTACAACTAAATTATAATTTTTTGCTTTAGTAACCAGTCGATCTCATTATAATTCTTCTTTTTGAAACATTTCAGCGAGTTGAGTGATCATATTCAACTGCCTCGGTGTACTTTCACCTCTGGAAACCACAAATTCAAGACTGCAAATACGGAGCTCTTATAGAGTCAATTACACTTCTCCAGGGCAAGCAGAGAAGTATGCTTTTCACAATAGATTGTGATCTGCATCATCTGATAAGTCCCTCCATGGGTCTTTCACGGCGGCGGAATAAACATTATGATTGCGCAGGGATTGAATGTGGTGGAAAAAATCTAATTGCAAACCTCTTAGCTCTCTCACTTTAGCGGTGAAATGGAATCGTCAAAGTGTTTTGCATGCTAGATATTTTAATATTTCGTCAGGTGGGGCGCGCAAAAAATGTGGAGCAAAACTAATCACGCATTGAGTTTGACCTTATTTCGTGCTCAGCGAAAATTGCTGGAGTCATTATTGATTAATTTGGGTGAGAAAGAATAGCTAAATGATTGGGATGTCTAATACCCAATATCTATCTTGTGGTCTTGTTTAGCTGCAGCGCTGGACGAAAA